ATTTTTTTTCTTTTCTTTTATTTTTTTAGAGAGAATTCAGGAAAGTGGCTTTTCTGTGGAAAGGTGTCTCTTCAAACAAAAAGAAACACTCTCTCTATGTATATATATTACATATATAACTACCTATCTTAGTTCCTGCGGGGCAGCTGCTGAGGTGACTTGCGTGGAGGCTTTTTTTTTTTTTTTTTATTAAGTTTAATTTTGCGATTTTCAATTTTTTTTTTATTTTATTTTTCTCTTCGCTAAAAAAGTGTTATTTTAGAGAGAGGTGGATCCTTCTCGGCTTTTTTTTTTTTTTTTTCCCCTGTCTTTCTCCCCCCCTCCCCCCCCCACTCCGCTAAAAGCCGAGCTACCCAACCTCTCATTCCCAACCCTGCCGGGACTTGGCTGTCGCGATGTACAACACGGTGTGGGATATGGACCGCGATGACACGGACTGGAGGGAAGTGATGATGCCCTATTCCACTGAGCTGATATTTTACATTGAGATGGACCCTCCAGGTAGGGAGCCGAAGCCTGGGTGCTGCCGTCCATCCCCGCCCTCCCTCCTCCTGCACACTTTTCCCTTTTGAAATAAAAGGAGAAGGGGGAGGGAGGGGGGGGGAATTAATATCTGTAGTTTAACTTTGCGTAAACTTTCCAGGGACTTGAGCTCGCTGTCTCCTGGGCAAAAGTATTTTGATACTGGTTTGGTTTTTTTTTTTGGGGGTGGGGGGGGAGATGGGAGGGTAACAGCGATTTATGGTGCCTTTGGGGAGATGGAAGGAGGCAGGAGGAGGAGAGCTGCTCGCAGCCCCTCTCCCGAGTCTCCTTTTTTTAAAGCCTTTATTGAAAAGCGTATATTTCGGATGTATTCGCTCCTAGAGGAGCGCTTTTATTATCCTCTTCACCTGTGTGCCTTTATGTGCCTGTAACACTTTGATGGTGGTGATTTACCCACCTCCATTCAGTTCCAGTTTAATCGCTTTTACAGTCTCCGAGACCCTTTTCTCTCCAGCTCTCTTCCAGCATTGACAGATGAGGTGTGTGCTGTCGCTGGGTTTTGGTGCTGGGGGGATGATACTTGGGAACAGACTGCAATCCATCCCTGGAGGCACTGTTACTTTGATAACATTTAATAACCTTGTTCAAAAGGGTTTGATGCAACTTTTCCCCACGCACACTCCCCCACCCCCATGGATTGCCAGTGCTGAAAATGGGGAAATGCATTGTCCCTCGTCTGCCTGAAGTTTGTAGATGGGACAGAAAGTTTCTTTTGTGTCTAAAGAGTGAGGGAAGGCTTATGAGGAGGAAGAAGAGGAGGAGGAGAGGGCGAGTCTTTCTTTGGTAAGGAATTAAAGTAAGGCTAAATGGGTACTGGTGAAACTGTATCTGTACCTGTAAGAGTCAAACGGGCTGAAAGCAGTAAGGTAATTGAAGGGCCTTTATCTTCTCAGGACTCTGATCTCTACAGCCAGAAGGTACAGTAAAATATGCACCAAAAATCTTAGCCTGCAGAGGAATTGATAGCAAATAAGTACTTCTAAGTGGTGTCTTCTGTGGGGTATGTACTTTCAAAACGTTCTTTTCAACCTGTGCCTGAATCGTGGCGTGTGTCTGCAAGTGTGGTTTAGTCTCTTTGTTTCAGCACAGTGAGCTGTATTTTGCTCTCTGGAGGTATGTGGTACTTTAATTAAAAAGAGGAGGAGGTGATCATCCTGAGATTTTTGGATCTCAAGGACTTGCTTCCTCTGGTAACTCTGATGCTTTGAAAACTGGGCAGATCTCTCAGAAACACAATACTGGCCACTACTCATTAAATTCTTACATAGCTGACACTACCTATTTTTAGATGTTGCTCCTGAAAGCCTAAAGTTCAGTCAAATCTGTTTTCTTTTGTGAATTTCAAAGGATATCTTTCCTGCAAGTGCTTTTGGTTCTGAGGTTGGTATTTGTATGTGCTTGTATCAAGTGAACAAGTACCTAAGTCCCATTGTAGGTGACTTAAAGCAATTGGTGTGGGGTTTTTATTAAAAAAACATAAAGCCCCTTGAATGATTTAGTGGAAAGAGGCTGCTAAAAAGGGCTGGCCTAACTGAACTGGTCAGAAAACAACTTTCCAGTGTTTCTGCAGGAATTTGGCCATGCAAAATTCTTAGGAAGCCTTAGAAAGTTTACATTAAGAAGCAGCTCTCCTGTCATTAATAATGTCAGTATGTCCATCATTGAAGCCCTCTTGTCAGGGATCAAGGCTCTGCCCAGTCCAAACACCAGTTAGCAAAAGGACTTAATGTTACAGGCTGATCCCTGGAGTGTTCAGTAACTTTATCTTTCATATTCTTAAACTGGAAGAGCCAGAGCTGGAAATGATGCAGGGGATAATCCCCATGTGTATGTCCTGATTTTGTAGAAGTGCAACTTTTAAATTGAGGGGGGAGGGAAGGAGGGGAGAGTGTGGCAGAGGGGCTCTGCTTTTTCCCTGTCCGGAGGTGGGGTGGGAAGGCGTTTTCCGCTCTGGGATGATAGGTCATCCCTAAGGGGAGCGTGGAGGAATTTATTTGGAAGGCTTCAACATTCGGCATGCCTTGGGATAAAGTCGCTGCGCTCGCACCCGGTAACAACCACAGCTCCCTTTGGCCCACTTCCAACAAAAATTTTGTGGAGGTTTTCGGTGCCACATTCCCCGGAGCTCCGGGAGCAGCTGAGCGGCGGCGAGACGTTCCCTCAGCAGCGCAGGAACCGGGCGATGTTCGTGCGGCACGGCTCTTTTGTTCCCAGAACTTGCCTTTTGGAGAGAGAGATCCCTTTCGGTTGGGCTTTATGCCGCAGCACCGGGCACTGGCGGATTCCGGGAGCCAAGTGTCTGGGACCACGCATGGCTGCTCGTGATTCCATTTTACTGCGTCTAAACTTCAGGCAGAAGACAAAAGCAAGGTGAACATAATGCGCGGTGTCACCCGTAACCTCCGAGGCGAGGGTGGGGATACTGTTTCTTGTTAAGGGCCAGTAGACCTTTAATTTATCTTGGCAGGCTCTCTTAATACCCACCTTAGCGCTGCCCAATAATAATGCAGAAATAAAATCTGGTGATGGCAGGCAGCCTGCAGCGCAGCCGGAGCTTCTGTCAGGCCTCAGTGCACCTGCACCAGCTTATCAGTGTGCTCGTGTTTGCTGTTCGGGGCTGGAGGTGTAAATGGATGTTCGGAGCAGGTCCTGAAGCCTCTCTGCTGGAAGGGCTCGCTTTGGAAGTTCAAAAATAACAATAATGCCTCTCACACACGAGTTTTCCCCGACTCTAGCAGAGGCAGGGCCAGGGCAACAAAGGATTGCAAGCTTTCTGATAGCCTTTAATCCATCCTGAGCGCGGGAGCGGGGCAGTTTTCCCAAACGGAGTGGGTGGAACTAGGGATTCACCTCTGCCACCTTCACAAAGCAAAATTTAAAGCAGTACAACTAACACTGGAGCCTCAGTGGTGAAAACCAGCAGGGTGACTCCTGTTACCTAATGGTTTTTCCTTCTGCTTACATCTTATTTTGCATTTATACATTCGTCACTGGCATAAGGTAGGACCTCCCTGTGGCAAATAACACTACATGCAACAAATAATGTTCAGTATCTAAAGACACAGCTGGAACCATCAGTTGCATAGAGCTAACATAGCTCCTCAACTTTTCAATGATGGATGAAGTTATGAGTGTTATGGCCATAGCAGCATCATGTGCTGGGTTCTGGCATTGGGAAACTGTCTGTTGGGGGTTCATTCACATGTTTGTCCTTCACATGTTTGTCCTTCCTGTGGGTCTTGCTGTCTGAAAAGACAAGAAAATAGGTTATTGGACTGAATTTAGTTTTTATTTCAGGTCTGCAAAAGTTTGTTACTGCTGGAAGTTAAGTTTTTGAACAGAG